ATTTCTGATGCATAGCAATCAGAAGGCAGCATTTCTCAACCTGGGGGTCGGGACCCCTGGGAGGTCATGAGAGGGTTTCAGAGGGGTTGCCAAAGACCATCAGAAAATAATAATCATCATCATCATCATCTTTATTTATACCCCGCAACCATCTCCCCCAACGGGGACTCGGAGCGGCTTACATGGGGCCAAGCCCAAGCAACAAATTACAATGAAAAAATACAAATTGCAATAAAATAAACAACATAACATTAAAGTATAAAACATCAAAGTATATAAACAATATACACAGAACATAAAAACCAAACATAATGACAGAGAGCGGGCCACATGTACATAAAAAGATTTAAAAACTCAGGGTGAGATAAAGGGGCAGAACTATTTATAGGGGAGAACTCATAAGAGAGACGGAGAAATAAACAAACCTTCGCACATGGCGGGGGGGGGGCTATATTTCTGAAGGTCTTGGGAACCCCTTTGGCAAAGAAGGCTGAAGATCTCTCCGTCTCTCCTGCTCTTCCTTTTTGGAAACAGATGGGGAACCCTCCCACCAAAAGCCCTCCGAAGCTGTGATTGGCAGGCCTCTCAGCCAAGGGGAGGGCTGTTTCTGAGACTCCAAGCAGGGAGGGGAGAGCACATGTGCATGGCAGCGTGCATGGCAGTGTGGTTTGCATGTGCAGGCAAAGGAGAGCATACCAGGTTGGAGGGAGGATAACGCCAGCGAGTCCCTTCAAGACATTGGGGGGGTGGTCTGTGTGGGGTTTGGCCCAATTCTATCTTTGATGGGGTTCAGAATGTTCTTTGACTGTAGGTGAACTATAAATCCCAGCAAATACAACTCCCAAATGTCAAGGTCTATTTTCCACAACCACCACCAGTGTTCACATTTGGGCATATTGAGTATCCGTGCCAAGTTTGGTCCAGATCTGTCACTGTTTGAGTCCACAGTGTTCTACCTGGATGTAGATGAACTAGAACTCCAAAACTCAAGGTCAATGCCCACCAAACCCTTCCAGTATTTTCTCTTGTTCATGGGAGTTGCCAAGTCTGGCTCAATTCCATTGTTGGTGGAGTTCAGAATGCTCTTTGATTGTAGGTGAACTATAAATTCCAGCAACTACAACTCCCAAACGGCAAAATCAGCCCCCACTCCCAACACCACCAACATTCAAATTTGGGTGTATTGGGTATTTGTGTCAAATTTGGTCCAGTGAATGAAATTACATCCTGCATATCAAATATTTACATTACAATTCATGACAGTAGCAAAATTACAGTTATGAAATAGCAACGAAAATAATGTCATGGTTGGGGTGCACCACAACATGAGGAACCGTACTAAGGGATCGTGGTATTGGGAGGATTGAGAAGCACTGCTCTAAGGGGCTGTAGTTCAAGCCGTGGGTGGGGTGACCTCCCGCCGTCAGCCCTAGCTCCTGCTTATCTAGCCGTTCAAAAATGGCAATGTGAGTAGATAAATAGGTACCGCTTAGGTGGGGAGGTAAAAGGCACCCCTGAAGACATGCCAGCAATTTAATCAGGAAGGTGTCCACCAACAACAAGGTTCTGGGCATAGAAAAGATCATCTGGAGAGGCCCTGCTCTCGGTCCCGCCATCATCACAAGTACGGTTGGCGGGAATGAGAGACAGGGCCTTCTCAGTGGTGGTCCCTCGGCTATGGAATGGCCTTCCTAGGGAGATTATATCGGCTTCCTCGCTCCTATCATTCCGGAAGAATCTTAAGACATGGCTATTTGAGAAGGCATTTGAAAATACGGAGTAACAGATATAATAATGGAATAACTATATGGCGGAACTGGACATTGTTTTAATTATTATCGATTGAAGTATGTTTCATTATAATGTTTGATTTTATTGTTGCTGATGTTTTTATATTGTATATTGTAATTGTGTCCTTGGCGGCATTGAATTCTTGCCTTGTTAACCGCCTTGAGTCGCCGTAAGGCTTAGAGGGGCGGTATAGAAATGTACTAAATAAATAAATAAATAATGGAACAACAGCACCTCCTCATGGCCAAGTCAAGAATAGCCTCCAGATGCCAGAAATGAAAAAGAGGGAAGCCTTGCCTCGGTCTCTGTACTGTCTTTGTTGTAAATTGTATAACAGCACTGAATATTTGCCATAGATGTATTCTGTAATCCACTCTGAGTCCCCTTGGGGACATAGAGCAGAATATAAATAAAGTATTTTATTAATTATTATTCTATCATGGGATGTGTTCAAAGGAGATTTGCTACCAATGCTCTCCTCTGAGGCTGAGAAAGTGTGACTTCTCCAAGGCCAGCCAGTGAATCTCCACAGCTGAGTGGGGATTACAAGGCTGGCCTCCAGGGCCCTGGTCCAATGCTCAAACCACGATGTTATGCAGACTCTCAACCACCCCGTCTAGCTGCAAAGAGAGAAGTCCTCCTTCAGACCAAACCAGGCTTTCAAGTGTCAGAAAGAAAAACAAACTGAGCATGAAATCCGAATGTCATGACACAAAAGAAACAAGAAACCGGCAGAATCTGGCACATAAATGTTCTGGATTATTTCCATGACAGGATACCACCAAGTTCATCCTAGTACACTGTCACATGTTGACATAATCATGGCATAAATGAACTAATTTGATGTAATCAGGACCTAAGACGTGCCACATATTATTACAAACATCAGCTCACACCGAGGGAAGAAGAGAAGAGAGATAAAGGAGTAATGTGTTTTCAAAAGTGATTCCATTTGGATCGCCACTCTTCATATATCACACAACTTGATTCTGTCAAGAACTAGAAAAATAAAGCCAGGCTTTGAAGCGGAAATTGATCGTTACTGTTCAGGTGTGGACAGACCTGTAACATTTTAATAGAATTGACTATGATTCTATTCTATGAATGCAGGTAACAATCTGTGTGAATGCCAAGAGAGGTCTTAATTCATTTTTCTGAGGCTGACGGCATTGGTTACACAGAGGTTTTGTGATGGGATGTAGTGATAACTATTATTTTGAAATGAGAGTCATGAGATAGACATAGTCATTTTTTAACAAAATTCGTTTAAATAAAGCATTCAATGTATGTTTAAATTCTGGGTTTGTAAATCGCTGACTTGTATTCACTCTGTTTCCAACTTGTGCCTTAACTATGGCTCCGAGGTTTAGATCTCTAAACATATCTTCCTCCAAATGGAAGAGCATTATTTCCAAGAGATTATGCTTTGAGTCCCCTTTTGGAGAGATAAAGCGGGCTATAATAAATGCAACAACAACAACAACAATAATGTTGCAATCTCAGGCGATAGCAGGATTGAAGAGAAACAACTGGAAAAGCTTACACAATATGAGGATTGAAAGATCGAACTGCAAAGACTCTGGCACAAGCCAGTCAAGGTGGTCCCATTGGTGATTAGCACACAGGGTGCAGTGCCTAAAGACCTTGGCCTGCACTTAAACACAATTGGCGCTGACAAAATTACCATCTGCCAGCTGCAGAAGGCCACCTTACTGGGATCTCCACGCATTATTCGCCGATACATCACACAGTCCTAGACACTTGGGAAGGGTCCGACATGTGATCCAATACAATAGCCAGTAGAGTGATCTTGTCTGCTGTTCACTCATCTTGTTGTGTTTCTAATAATAATGATGATGATGATGATGATGATGATGATGATGATGATAATAATAAAAATATTTTACTCCCAAGCGCCACTGTCAAGGGAATGCCCCTTAATTTTCATGCCACACTAAGGAATTTGAGCTGCCAAAATGATTTCATATAACTTACAGCTGAGATTTTGGGCGATTTTTCTACTTTCGTTTGGGGGAGAGGCTTGGGTTTGCAGGATCAGGGGAAGAAAAAACTCCATTTATAGCCATTTGGGGGAAATAAACTACTTGCAAAAATTCCTTCCCACACAAAATCTTGTTTTTTAATTTATTTTGGTGGAACTGGCCTTTTTGTTTGTTTTTTGGTGGTATGGTCTTCCGGAGGTCACAAAAGGCCTCCCACCCCAATCTACTAGTCCAAAAAGTGACTACATCTCATATAACATGTTTCATTTGACATAATCTAAATGATAGTTGATACCATCTGGGATTACAAATAAATCTTCTATTTGCAGACCGTTTGGTGTTCTTTCTAGCCATGCCTTCTTGCCTAGTCTGGTAAAATGAGAACCCAATTTTCACTGAGCCCACAAATTGAGGAGTAGACTGGACCTGATGTTATGGAGTGCCACTCATTTGCCGTAAAGACAAAGCAGGATAAAGAGGATGAGCCAGGCTCTTCCTTTGGGATTTTAGAATTCAGGGAAGGCACGAACCCCCGGCAAACAAACCCATAGAGTTCTTTCTTAGTCACTGCACCAGAGTTGCTGGCACACACACAGCCCTGCTGCTTTTCACCTGCAGAGTTTCCTGCCCACATTTGCGGGACTTCACATAACCACCTTCAGAGGAACAAGTGAGAAATGGTGTCTGGGGCTCACTGACGCTCTTCGACAGGCCGCAGTCTGCCACACAGCGCCAAGCCTTTCCTTTGCCCAAGGCAGGAAGGGCTGCTATCAAATGCAGAGGGTGATGTAAGAATTCCAGCAATGGACAACTGTGGGAGAGCGCGCCCACAGAGAGCAAGTTCCAGCATAATCCCCTTGTAGACGGAGGCCGGCGCTGGGCATCTAGGGTGTCGCACATGACTGCCCAACGCCCTGCTGCCAGGGAAGGAAGGGCCACCCGGATGGCAACCAATCAGGGCCGCAGGATCCACACCGGCAGCCCCCGCAATGAGACCCAGGGTGCCAGTTTGTTAAGCCTTTCTGGAGCAGGGCAGGTGCATGGAAGAAAACCGCTCCTCCCCTGTGTGTCCTCTGCAGCTTCCCCAAGGATCTCGCCTTTTATTTTGTTTTATTCTGCCTCATCAATTCACAAACACAAGAGGGCAGCCTGTAAATGCCACTCATCTGAAAGCAAGCACAAAAGAGGAAAGGAAAAAGTACTCACATCCTTGTGGCAAAATCTGAAGCAACTCCACGAAGAGCCTGATGGAAGAAAAAAAAAAGGCGTGTGAGTTGTGCAGGGTGAGCAAATATATTGCACCAAGAAGCTCCTCTGCCTTCTGGCAGGATCGGCAGAGAGGTGTGCTTCTGGGTCCGGAGGAGCCCAGCGGACACAAAAGACGTTGCTATCCTAATATTCAGAGCTTGCTTAAATCCAGAATTGCCAGCAGGTTTGCAGCTGCAGTATTCAAGCTGGGATGGACCCTGGACTTCTAAAAGAATTACCAAATCCAATGAACAGCACGAGCCGAGTTTATACTGTCCTGTGTAATGATGCATTCTCTAGTCTGCTCCAATTTTTTTCCTAGGGGCCTGTCTATTTGGAGGAAAGTTACAATACATCTGGATAATGCCACACACCCCTCCCATGTTCAGCCTGTAAAATTGCCAGTTTAAGAGCCTTCAGGCCAGTGATACTGGACAAAGGCACATCTGTCCAAGGCCCTCTCTGGACCACCGCCAGCCAAAGCCAGCAAATGGGAGGAAAAGAGAGATGGAGAGATGGATGGAGCAATGACTCACTGGACACAACAGAAGGCGGACTCACATGTTTACACATCTGCACACTGGACCTTTCTCCAGTAAACACAGGCCTCCTTTGCCAAACTCTAAGCACACTTAGATAGCATTTTGTAGTACAGTTGGGCTGATATGGAGAAGGGGGTTATAATTAATCTGTTAATGAGCGTGGAGCTAAGCAGATTTTAATGAGCATTTCATACATCTGTTGAACACTTGAGCTTTTTATTCATATATCCATCAGCAATCCTTAATGCAGCCCCATAAATTAGGTCAATATTTAAACTTTACTTAGGTTCATAATTTCCTTCATTGTAGGTTGAGATGCATCATGAAGGATAGAACATCCTCAGAACCACCCTGTAGATTCGACTGAATAGAGATGGGTCATATTGCCCCCCAAAACCCAGCAGCTCAAGCTGCAAGAAGCTGAATCCTCGCCTTCTGCATTCAAAACCAAGGTTCAGACCCAGCCTATCAGAGGGTTATATTAGTCTTCTTTTCTTTTATCATCTCAAAGGAACCGCAACTCTTTCCTTCAGAGTTTAGGCGTTGAGCTGCGCACAAACTATCATTGTAAAGGCTTACAAAAGAAGGTTAACCAACGACATTCCACAGCGCTTGCAAAAAGAAAACCCTACACATTTTTTCCAAATAGAGAGAGACTGGAAATCTGTAGCAGCGATGACCTAATGCCAGGCCATGGGTCCGTTGCAATTGACAAGCCAATGCCTAGTGTTCTGTTGACATGGCACAATTCAAGCGGGCATCGCACACGTGAATGGGCTCGTTTGTTGCTTCTCTCAACACGGCCCAGAGGTTTCACCCAGCGCACACACAAGCCCCACACAAACCCTATTTAGCAGAAGAGGCATCCAAACGAAAAAGCTTACTCCATGAACCCTCACTTGAGAGGTCACCGCAGAGCTATTGTGGGTTCGTCCTTAAGCAGCAAATTCCCGAGTTTGAAATTAAGTTGGAGGGAAAAGCAAGTAAGCCAGCATTTACGAATGCTCTTAGTGCAGATATCAAATCTGGCAAATCCCGTCATTCATCAATTACACCAATGCAAGCTACTAAGAGGGTCACCCTGGGACACGGCCTGTAATCCCCCGGCCTGACACATGACCCCGCTGCGCCTGATCCCAAAGAGCAACAAAACTGCCCTTTACACAAGAGGATGAGTGGAAATCCAGCCATTTGTCCCTGACAAGCAAGAACTAAAAACCAATCAGAGAAGCAATCTGCTCGACGAACAGGCCTTTCAAAAAACGTGAGCCTTTGAACAAGCCAACTCATCACTCCAGATCTCTTTGTGCTTGCTTCGTTGTTGTCCGGCTTCTCTCAGCACAGTCAAGGAGAACCAGCCCGGCTGGATGGGACCAAAACCCTTCCTAGTCCTGCCTCCCATTTCCAAAAAGGATGAGCACGGCTTTCTTTGGCACGAAAGGCAACGCCCTGCTCTGTGTCCCAACCACCTGCTCATCAAGAGGTGCAATGTGTTGGTGAATGGACCTTGCTTTTCCTTCAGCAAGCTACCACCCTAAACCAAGGAATTTGGGGAGGGGGAGCCTTCCTAAGGCAGTTGAACCCCCTCGGGAACTATCTGTCACAAACATCCATAACCACCCTTGCATTCACTTAATGGCCTCTCATACATTTACCACTTTCCTGAATGTCTAAATATTATATCTAAAACAATTTTACAATATTTCATTCATTGTGCTATCACTGTCTTCACGCTAGTTTCATTGTTAACTGCTCTACTCAGCAAAGACTAAGCTTCAAGATGGTGGCATCATCATCATTATTCACTGTATTTTAAGTATTCATGCCAAGTTTGGTCCAGATCTATCATTGTTTGTGTACAGTGTTATCTGGATATAGGTGAACTACATCTTCAAAACTCAAGGTCAATGCTCACCAAACCCTTCTAGTATTTTTTGTTTGTCATGGGAGTTCTGTGTGCCACGTTTGCTTCAATCCCATCGTTGTTGGAGTTCAGAATGCTCTTTGATTATAGGCAAATTATAAATCCCAGCAACTACAACTCTCAAATTACAAAATCAATAGCAGTCCCCCCCCCCAACCCCAGCAGTATTCAAATTTGGGCGTATTGGGTATTTGTGCCAAATTTGGTCCAGTGAATGAAAATACATCCTGCATAACATTCCGACATGACGATTCATAGCAGTAGCAAAATTACAGTTAGGAAGTAGCAATGAAAATAATGTTATGGTTGGGGGTCACCATAACATGAGGAACTATATCAAGGGGTCATGGCATTAGGAAGGTTGAGAAACACTGCCTTATATATCACCTCGCAAATACTTTGATGATGCTTGCCTGTGTGACCCTATCATGAGGTTTTGTTGACATGATGTGTTCAGAAGGAGTTTGCTTTTGCCTCAACCTTCCCCTGAGGCTGAGAAATAGCTCCTGGCCCAAGACCACCCAGTGGATTTCCACGGAGCAAGGATTCAAAGTCTGGCCTCCAGTGTCACAGTCTGATACTCAAACCACGACAGCTCTTCAAAAGATATCTTTCACTTTAAGATGGTTAACGTGACAGAGTTGTTGCAACAAACAGAACTGAACAAGGCATTTTGTAAACCAAACTTGCACACGAATGCCACAAATTCATCAACACACCACACACACACACACACACACTCCCCTGGCTGTCTTCCAACACTTTCCTGTGGCCATTCTTTATAGGTTAAAAAGGAAAACAAAAAGCAAAGCAAATTGCAAATAAAAAAATGTCCAAAGCAACCATGAAAAGCACTGAAAAAACAAGCTCCTGGAATTGCAAATGTGGACACAAAGATAAAAAACACATCTCCTCAAGAAAAAGACAGACTTTCCTCCTGTCCTGCTTTGAGGTTGGATAAGTAGAGTCCTGCTTATCCAACCTTCGTTCATCCAACATTCTGTATTATCCAAAGTAGTCTGCCTCCCACCTGGATCCACAGCTGTTTCAATACATTGTGATGTTTTGATGCCAAATTTGTAAATACAGTAATTACTACATAATGTTACAGTGTATTGAACTGCTTTTTCTGTTGATTTGTTGTAAAACCTGAGATTTTGGTGCTTAATTTGTAAAACATTTGTTTAGGTCTGCTTGTATGTATTCCACAAACTGCCCCATCACTTTTTCGCCCATGTCCAGCATTATTTTAATTTTAATTACATTTGGCCTACCCATAGATTTTAAAGTGTGTTGTCCTATTGATAATGCTTATGTTATTGTTGTATTGTTTTGTTGTTTTTAAATTGCTGTATTGTTGTTGTTATTGCTTGTATTGTTGTATTTTGGGCTCGGCCTCATGTAAGCCGCACCGAGTCCCTTGGGGAGATGGTAGCGGGGTACAAATAAAGTGTTGTTATTATTATTATTATTATTATTATTATTATTATTATTATTAAAATCATAACGTAATTTGACGTTTAATAGGCTTTTCCTTAACCCCTCCTTCATTATCCATTGTATAAGCGAGACTCTACTGTATTTTATTCCTTCGATATTTAAAAAAAGCTTCTCTAAGCTCTTATAGCTTTAGCAAGCAGTATAAATGTGAAGTACAAGATATCAATGTGGCATTTATTCTACGTAGTAAAATGATAAAGAGCTGTTTCAATTAATCCGTTGGTTAGTCCTCCAGTTTGGGGCAGCTTGAAGCAGAGAAACAACCTAAATTTAGCTGAAGGAGTTTTGTTCCAGAATGAGGCTGAGCCAATCAATTCCACAGCACAAACAGTGGTTTATCTCCAGTAGACAATACAAAAACTGTCTTGGAAATATGACCTAATCGCCTGCGGAAAGCCAAGTCTGCTCTTCCACCCACTGAGGTCCCTGTCGAGGCGAGAAGTGCCTCTGAACGGAGAGGGGAAATGAGACCCACGGAACCAACCGTTAAAGCTCTTTTCCAAACAGAAGTTCTCACAAAGACCAAAACCAGGCAACGGCAGAGTCCTCTGTGAGAAACAGGAAATCTCCAGAGAAGCAAAGAATTCCTCTGGCGAGACCCGCCCAGCCCAGCAAGATCCAGTGATGGCATTCCCCACATGAAAGGCCTTGCCATCATGGCCACGTGCAAGAAAGTGTGGGCGGTGAAATATTCGGAGCACCAACTCCCAGCTGATCACTTTGCCCGCATGCAGAACGTGAGCTCTGGCTTCGCAGGCCAAGTAAATACGACAATCCCAAGGCCAGGAAATATTTGAAAGGTTTTAGAAGATAGAGTAGCCACAGGTAAAAAAAAGAGCTACACATGGGAAGGCTGACTTGGCCACGGTAGTCCACGCTTTGGTTATATCCCGTTTAGATTACTGCAACGCTCTCTACGTGGGGTTGCCTCTGAAGACTGCCCGGAAGCTGCAGCAAGTCCAACGCTCGGCAGCCAGATTACTAACGGGTGCTGGGTACAGGGAGCACACCACTCCGCTGTTACACCAGC